TCATGATGCGCTCGCGGCCGTTTCGCTAGCGTCACATGTACAAAATTGGGTATTACAGTACGTGAATGAATGACGAAGGTATGTGACTGGTGAAAACATGATAACCATGAGATGCGTGTCGTGTAACAACATGACTACATGCCACGCTTATGATGTGCTGGCGGCCGTTTCGCTAGATTCACATGTATCAAACTCGGTATTACGCGACGCGAATGAATGACATAGGTTAACGACACAAACTTGATATAATCACGACATGCGTTTCAAGTAATAACACGACTACATGCCACACTGATGATGCGCTCGCGGCCGTTCCGTTAGCTTTACATATGCCAAATTTGGTATTATGTGACGTCAATGGATGACGAAGTATGTGACTCGTGCAAACATGATAATCATGAGATGCGTGTTATGTGAGAAGGTGACTATACATGCCACAGTCAAGACGCCAATACATTTCGACGTGACGTGGTGCGCGTGCTCTCCGGCGTTCATTTCGTTGCGTCACGCTGGCGTTGCTACACGCCAGGCACCGGTCTTGCCATATACTCGCACGCGCGCGCTGTGCTGTGTTGCTTTGACGCATGCGCGTTTCAGTGCGTCCAGCGTCCCTCCGTCACGAAAAGAGGGAGACGCAGTGTTGTCTGGGTAACGCATCGGCACGAAATGCAGTATGTCGCATTTCGCGCCGGTTGCCGTCAGGTTGCGCCGACGGATGCTGGTCGCACCTAACGTCAGACTAGAGTGCTCGTGTTTTGCTAACTTAGCGTCGCTGTGCCTAGCGTGCGCGTGCGTCAACGCTACATTGGAGTATATTGGGCCCTCCATCATGCGCTCGCGGCCGTTTTGCTAGCTCCACATGTACAAAATTGGGTGTTACGTGACATCAATGGTCGACGAAATATATGACTGGTGTGAACATGATAATCCTAACGCACGTGTCATGTAAGAACATGACAACATACCACGCTCATAGCGTGCTCGCGGGCGTTTCGCTAGCTCCACATATACTAAATTTAGTATCACGTGACGTGAATAGATGATGGAGGTAAACGACACATCCAGACATGATAATCATGACACGGAAGTCGTGTACGGCATCATCTACCTCCACCTCGTAACATTGTGCTGATTTTAAAGTGACATATCAACCTTTCTCATTCGTGCTTCGCATATCATCGATTCCTACTGTACGTGAAATCTGACAGTTTTTTTTTTTTACTTCCATTATGTCGCTAGAGCTCTGTGTCCTCGTCGATGCTGGTGAAAACCATAGCATTTCTTACTCTTTGCTTGTATGCCGACCACACAACACCCAAAATGCATTGCCTCAACCGGCAAATGTGCATGTGCGCCAACGCAGAAAAAGTTTGCATGAAGCAATTCGCGTATTTCTTATTTTCTTCTTTTTCTAGAGTGTACTGTTGACGCAATGTTTAAAGAACTTGGGCTGTACGCGCACTTATCTAAAGTGTTAAAAAATTTGACGATTTTTATTTTTTGCGCTCATGAAAACTTTTGTCAAAAGCAAAAAAGCTTGCCGGAGCGATGTCGACGGTTAATTGCTTTTGTGTGTGTTAATAAATGTACCCGCAACTTGGCTCCGTGTGTGGTGTCGCAGTGATAAATGGAATTTATTCCTCTTATATTTTTGAACCTCGGGACGGCTTTAAGCTCTCCCATAGTAGAGTACCCAGTGCTCTAAATCGTTACCCCTTTTTCTACCCCCCCCCCCCCCCCTATTCCTCTTTCATAGTAGAGTATCTAGTACTCTAGATCGTTACCCACTCTTTTTAAGCACTCCTCTTCAGCTTACTGCTCGGTAAAGAGGTCCTGGGACGGCTTTCAGCTCTCCTATAGTAGAGTACTAAGTTCTTTAAAACCACTTTTTTTAAACACATATTCAAGTACGTCCGCGCGGTGACGTCTTTGACGCCTACGGGACGGCTCCATGCTCTCCCATAGTAGGAGTATCAGTACTCTCAATCATTGACAACTTTTTCAAACACACAGACATATTCATCTTTTATTTGTGCCTCTTGTTTACCTTGCAATATCGTATGTGTATCTTTCCTTTTACGACATTTTTGTGTGAACGATCGAATGCACATGTCTTATCCACGTAATCTCATATCCATGTTCATGTAATTGAAGTCTGTTTTGTCATCATCATTATTGTATGTCTAAAAAGAAAATGTTCTGGTGAAATGTCATTGACGTATGTGACAATAAATTTTTCTAAACAGGCTCCCGGGATGGCTTTAAGCTCTCCCCTAATAGAGTCCTTGTACTCTAAATCATTAACCACGTTTTCGAAACACACCCACAGACTTTGTCGATGCGGCGGCATCATCAAGTGTGAGGCCAAAGGGACGGCTTTCAGCTCTCCCATAGGAGAGCACCGAGTATACTGTAATCGGTAACTTTTAGGGGCGGAGCTCCTTAAATTATGGTTCGTGCGTCCCCCATCTATGTAGTAGTAGTGGCAGCAGTGGCAGTAGTAGTAGTAGTAGTGGCAGCAGTGGCAGTAGTAGTAGTAGTAGTAGTAGTAGTAGTAGTGGCAGCAGTGGCAGTAGTAGTAGTAGTAGTAGTAGTAGTAGTGGCAGCAGTGGCAGTAGTAGTAGTAGTAGTAGTAGTGGCAGTAGTGGCAGTAGTAGTAGTAGTAGCTGTCGTCGTCATTGCAATAGTAGTAGTTGTAGTGGTAGTAGTAGTAGTAGTAGTAGTAGTAGTAGTAGAAGAAGAAGAAGAAGAAGAAGAAGAAGAAGAAGAAGAAGAAGAAGAAGAAGAAGAAGAAGAAGAAGAAGATAGCTACATCTCGTTTAGTCTTTGGAATGTCCGCTGGATGGCGGTACTTGTATATGATGAATATATGCTGAAAAGATGCGAGATAGCAGTACTTGGAGTGTTCACTAGATGGACGGATGGACGCATGGACGGACGGAAGCCAGAACGAACGGACAGACGGATGGTTCGCCCCACCCAGCACTGTTCACTCCGTTGATATGTTCTGATTTTTTCTAAACACACCGTGTGCAGAGCTTCGAAACATTGCTGTGCTGGCTACATGCCGATCAATACACTCGAGCCTTTCCACTGCCAGGTGGTGGTACTGTTAAGGTGACTGCATTCGTTGATGACATAAGATTGCATTTGAAGATTGCGGAAAGTTTATCCGGTAGCGTACGATTTTTTGCTGAGCATGGACCTAATGAATGTTTTGTCGAAAGCAAAAGACCTTGCCGGAGGTATTCTGAGGGTTTATTTATTAAGTGTGTGCCAATAAATGCACATATCACTTGGCTACTTTTGCAGACAGTGTCCCTGTGGTGGAACTTTTCTGTTAACACCACTGTGACTGAACATTAGGAGGCAGCGCAAGATGCCTACGGGACGGCTTTAAGCTCTCCCATAGTAGAGTACCTAGTACTCTGAATCGTTATTCACTTTTTCTAAACACCTTTTTCTTCGAGCCTTTTCTGCGCTTGCATATTGCCAATTGATATGTTCGAGGCCTTTCACTACTAGGTAGTGCTAGGGTGAAGGTGGCAGCATTCACTGATGACATCACGCTATATTAGGGGCGAAGCTCATTAAGCCGTGGGTCTGTCCATGCATGTCCGCTTTGACCTGTTCGTAACCACCTAGTTGTATGACACACTCAGCAGGTGGCCCTAGTGTGAGTGATAGACCGATGGACAGACGGACGGACAGGCAGACGTACAAACAGACAGGCAACGGATGGACGCATGGTCGAACAGACGCACGGACGGACGCACGGACGGATGGACCTCAATGCCAACGACTGCATTGTGGCGCACTTGCTTTCCAAATACGCACTCCGATGTATCCATATGCAACCTACCACGAGACCGTAATTTTTTTCTGCACCTTCAATTGAGTCCTTTTACTTTAAATTTGCCTCTTTGTAAATGCTTATGGCAAGTGTCCGGCAAACGGAATCAAACGAAGTCATATAAGATTGTTCGTGTTATCTCTGAACTTTCTATGACCTTTTACGAAACATTAGTAAGCGAATGTCATTTGCAGTATTTCAAATCGCATGACGCAAACGCTATTTTCTCATCAAGACTTTTCTATGCTATAGTTTCCAGTGGATCGCTTCGGGCGTAGATCGAGCGCGTAGACCAAGCACAAACAAAAATACTTCATTTGGGTCTCGTTGGTACATATTCCTTATAGGTTAAAATTGTTTTTTGATGACCAGGCGTACTTGCAGTGCAATGACATATGTATTTGGTCCTGTCGTGCTTCTCTCTTTCTTGATATATGTTTTCTCTAGTGTCACAATGTCTTTATTGTGATGAAGGTTGTAAAGGTTTGTGGCCATGCAGATGAATTTTTCGGTTTTCTTATCACTCGACGCATTCCAGGATTTGCTTCTCAATGGTTCTAGATGATTTTAATATGCCGTGGGACTCGGCCATCGTCTGTGATGTCAGGCGCCAATTTGCTGTTGCATTGTCGGCTACAGTGCTTTCTTCTCCTCCTCTTTAGCTTTTATTCTTTCTTCCCCAATACAGGGTAGCCTATCAGGCTGAGAACTGGTTAACCGCCCTGTCTTTATTTTATCGTTATTCTATCTTTCTTTAATCAACTCGGACAAAGTCTTGCTTCGGGATTAAGAAATCGTAATGAAAGTAAGTTGGTGCATTTGAAAATTGTAAAGCCTGACACAGCACAGCGCAGCTTCACGGCGAGAGGTCAATGTGAGGTTGATGAGATGGAAAAGGAGAAAGAGAGGGTAAAATATAAAGCAGCCTTGTATACTGTAGATTCGCATAGGCGGAAAGGGAGGTGAATACTAGGAGGACTTATGGAAGGGTGACGAGGATGGGAAGCAGCAGGGGAATGCCAACAGTTCAGCTGTTTCCTAAGTAATAGCAGAACTAGTTCGTAGCTGCCCCGTTTTCCTCATTTGCAAGTTAATTATTGAGGCAAGATTGCAGTTTGTTGACACGTCAGTTGTCTTTGTTCGACAGCCATCCAGTGTGACGCCGAGTGTTCCGAGTACGTCGCGTGCATATCCGGGTGCCCGCCTCGGACCTGCGAAACACTGGGATCACCTCTCGCGGGGGAGAAGACGGTGTGCGACAACAGCACGGCGCCCTGCATCGAAGGCTGCAGGCCTAAACCATGCCCCGAGGGCTTCGTTTACGACAACGAGCATGACATGAACTGCGTGCCCGAGGCGCAGTGCAGGGTGCCTTGCAAGGAGATCAACGGCCGCGTCTACCTCGAAGGAGAGCGCATCGAGGACGCCAGGATTGCGGAGCCGTGCGAGTCCTGGTAGGTTTACGATTCCATGCCATGATTTGGTGCGTAAAGTGTGTGGTTCTTGTGTACCTTTGTGGCAACGAGAAGGAGGAGGAGGAAGAGAAACGAAAGGCAAGAATGTCAACCAGACGCGCATCTGGTTTGCTATCCTTCACCGGGGGAAGAGATTAAAGAATGAAAAGAAAAAGAGATAGAAGCAAACATGAGAAAATTACTCGTGAGTTTAAACTGGACCGCTGCATTCAATCTTAGCAAATGCAGGACTTCAGGCATATCACGATCTACTGTTGATCGTCGGTTCATGGTGCCTCACAAACAAGGCCGCTGGGGTGGCTTGGCGGCTGTGATGTTGCGCACTGTTTCACAAACAGCGTGCAAGGCTGTGTAAGCTACGCAAAATTTCTAGTGTAAGAATGTATAACTCCGCGCTTTTAGTCTTCAGCTTTCGGGTTAGTAAATGCTCGTGCAAGCGAAGGGCAAATCAGCGTGTGTGGCTCGCCCTGGAACCGAATAAAGGAACCAGAAAACGATAACAACAAACTGTTCATATTAACAGATGCATAACAGAATAGGCTTGTTTGTAAGGTACGAAATATCTTCACTTATTACTCTGCCTGAAGCGAGAAATATTCACGTTTTCAAAATAGCGTACTAGTTTTTTTCCTGAACATATATTCGCTGCGTAAAATTGCCCCCGACTCCCCGAAGGGTAGCAAACCGGCTGCCTATAGGCTGGTTAACCTGCCTGCCGTTCTTTTCCTCCTATTTTCCTTCCTTGAGGAAATGCGAATGAATTTATTGCGCCGGGAGAACACGGCGCAGTAATTTTAATGGCGTAAATTATTTATGAGACGAGGATTTGTACTATTGATGAGACGAGGTTTGTACTATTTCTTTACATGTTCATCAGCCGTGAACAGTCGAGAGTGAGGCGACGGGGGAGTGGGGCACAGGGAGGTGAGAGAGCAAACGGCGAGAGAAGGAGTGGCGAAGCACTGCACCTGTCGTTGTACCTGACGGTAATAATGTCAGCGTCTTACCAACACAAACGCTACACAAATGCTGGCGCACAAACGCTACAAATGCGTTTAAGACGAACTGCATTGAGGTGGTGGCAAATGACGTTCAAGCCAAGGAGGTCGGGGCTTTGGGGTGAGGATAAGTGCGCACGCCCGCAGTTGTTGCTATGAGAGAGGGTGGTGGACGGATCCCGACAGATGCCTGACATAGCCCGACTAAGAAATGCATTCGCGTTTGAAAACATCGCTAGCCTCCACGGCTTTCAACCATGTGTATGAAACGGAGTACAAGGGTGCCAATTCGACTCTTGGCTATGGTAGCCGCATTACATTCTCTGGAAACGCCAGAACACCCGTGAACACCCGTGACGTGTCCCATTATGCTGTGAATTATAATGATGTGCTGTTTTCCCACGTAACGTCAATGAATGTTTTCTAGTACCTTGGCAAATAAGTCTAAATAAAACAATGTAGTATATGCACTGTTGATGAGCCACAATGAACCAAGATAAACCATAATGTTCAGTACTCGCGTTATAAAGCTATGTTACACATGCAAATGCGATAGGACACTGACTGGGCCGCCTTTCCCACTTGCACCACAGCTTCTGTCGGCGTGGTAGCATCGTGTGCACTGGCCACCCGTGCCCCAATACGGAACCTCCCGTAGAGGTCAGTTGCACCGCTAGCGGCTGGACGCCTTGGCTGAATCCAGCTGCCCGAGCATCAGGAGACTTCGCCCTGCTGGCGGATCCCCGGTTCGCTTCTCTGTACGGCCCGTACTGCGGTGCCGCGCACGTCGTGGGCATCGAGTGCCGCGTATCGGCCACCGGACAAGACCTGCTGGGCGCCGGACAGATGGCCAGCTGCGAACTTCCGCGCGGCCTGTCCTGCTACCACAGATACCAGGCGGGAGGCGCCTGCCTCGACTACGAAGTGCGACTGCTCTGCGACTGCGGTGAGTAGAGCACCGCCAGGCGGCAGCTGCATTTCGTGCTATACAGAACACCAGCTCAATAAAACTTACAGCCTGTGTCAAGCGAGCAAGTTAAGTGTACGTTCAAGGAGTAAAACCAAATCTGATGGTGTCATCGATTGGCATATTCGGAGTGGCCGACGAACTCCGCGCTCGAGCACTCTACTCTGGCGGAGGGCAACAGGAGGGAATCCACCAATGGAACACACACGCTCCCTCTGAAGCAAATAGCAGGGTCAGATTGGAACGCGATGCGCGCTTCTCTCCTCTTGCGTGAGTAGGCATGCTAGACACGGCGACGCTGCGCTAGAAAAACGTGAGCTCCGACGCGAAGCGCAACTGACGCGGCTGGCGTCCGTTGGCGCGCCCAAAGCTGGCAGCTTTTCAAGGCACGGGGCGCTCGCGAATTCCTGTCGAATCCGCCGATTTTTGCGGCGTAGAAAAAGTTACTCCGCGGAGTGGGTCTCTCGACGGATCTGCTCCAGATCTGCCAATGGAACATACAGGGAACACTCCCAATCTGCTAATGGAATGAAATTGCTCCGCATGGAGCAGAAGAAAGTATTACCGGAAGTGCTCCGAATTTGCCAATAGACGACACCGTAGAATAAAACTATACTCGGCGACAGCTTTTCTTGGTACTGAAGAGAAAGCTACGGAGGCGGAGCTCCTGCACACGTAGCACTACGCCAAGTAGTCCTTTCTTACGCGCGTCTCGTAACGCTATGGAACGTGACGGGGGGCGCACCATCAGCGTTTCATGTAGACGCAGACGCCGCTTCGCGTTTGAGGTGCACGTATAAATGGGACTTTCTCGCGCATTCAACAACGCGAAGTCACAACGAATAAATTTAAATAAATACAACTATCCGAATGGTGGGAGCTGCGTCCGGTCTCAAGTAGCTTCACGTAGAAAATAAAGGGGGAACTTCTACATTTCATGGTGAAAATACGGGCGCTGTTGTGGAACTACATTCACTGGCAGTAGGATGCCGGCGATTTGGCTATGTAGCCTTCGCTCCAATGCCAAGAAAAGTTGTCGCCATGTATAGGCACCCGACAGTGGACCAGAGGGCGCAACGAAGCTCTTTGGGCTGCCTTAGCATTTTTGGTACCGACCGCCAGGGATACTAAGAAAATGGAACGCTCATTGAACACATTGACACGCTGAAGTGTCAGTATTCTTTTTGGCACGTTTTCAAAAGAAAAATGCTTTTTGGGTGCTTACATAATCAGCCGTCACCCCCTTGCTCACAACTAAAAAAAGAAAATGATATGCACGTGCAAGTTCGGTTTATCTGCGTTTACTCGCTAGGCTACGCATTGGAAGACTCTGTTTTGCTGCGCCTACTCGCTAGACAGCGTGTTCTGGCGCTACCATCAGATCTCGTAAACTGCATTGCCTGTAAGGCACCCGGCAATGCAGTTTACGAGATCTGATGGCAGCGCCAGAACACACAGCCTAGCGAGTAGGCGCAGCAAAACCGAGTCTTTCAATGCGTAGCCTAGCGAGTAAACGCAGCAAAACCGGACGTGCACGTGCATATTATTTTTTCTTTAGTTGTGAGCAGGGTGTCACGGCTGATTATGTAAGCGCCCAGGAAGCGTTCTTTCAAAACGCGCCAAATATACAGCATCGACACTTCAGAGTCGCAATGTGTTCAGCGAGAGTTTCATTTTCTTGGTATTCCTGTTGGTCGGTACCAACAACGCTGAGGCGGCCCAAAAAGCTTTGTCGCGCCCTCTGGTCCAATGTCGGGTGCCTATAGTGGAGTGTCAACGCTTTTTCACGACTCCGATTTCAGCACCAGGCTCTGTACCCCAAGATGTTTCCGGTCACTTCACTTATCAATCTATATTACAGAAGCAGTAATGATGCTCTCAATTTGTCTCACAGTAGCGAAAGCCTTTATTTACCTTTTCGAATAAAAGGAGGGTGCCCAGAAGTCAAGAAAACCTCTCATAATCTTGCGTGTACCGTGGAAGAACATCTGTTTGAGATATTTCGCTAAAGCCTCTGACAAAAGCGTCGAAAGTTTGCGGGCTACTCTCAAAGGTTTTCGCGGTCCGACATTCCTAGCATGTGGCGTTGATTAGCAAATCTTCCGTCTGAGAGCAGTGGTGTGAGCCCATAGTAGAGTGCAGGGTACTCCAAATCGTTAACAACTCTTTCCAAACACAGCTCCCATGGTAGAGTATACCTAGCACTCTGAATCGTTAATAATTCTTCTAAACAGCTCATTGCTAGGTGCCTGTCCGTTCGACTCACTCTAGTACTTAGTACTGTTTTGGGTCCGTACCAGGCGTGTTGTGTTCAAGGTAGATCTTGCCAACTTCATGGTTTTGCTATTAGGGATCTCATAGAATGGTCGAACTCACGCAGCCTGCGTGGAATTCTTTGTTCTTTGGACCAAGAGAAGGCGTTTGATATTATCATTCATAAGTACCTCTTTAAAGTTTTAAAGCAGTCAGGCTTCAGTGCCAAGTTCAACAGGATGGTCAGGGCTCTCTATTTTCGTCCTAGTTCTACGGTTGTCATACAAGATCGCGTCTCGGAGCCTTTCGGTGTGTGCCGTGGAGTCGGGCAGGGCGATAGACTTTCGCCCGCTCTCTACGCGCTCGCATTCGAGCCGCTCTTGCAGAGGCTGTCTAAAGACACCAGCAATGGTAGATTTCCCCTTCCGCCAGGTGCCCCCCCCCCCCCCCCGGTGTCAATGTTCGCCTATGCTGATGACCTCTCTATTATTATCCAGGACGCGGTAACTGACTGTTTGCACCGTCTTGGATGTTATGGAGGGGTACTGCTCGGCGAGCGGAGCGAGAATAAATAGGTCAACGAGCGCATTCATGTATCTGAACTGCGCTCCCTCCGGCCCACGTCCCGTGCACTGCCTCCCCATAAAAAAGCGCCTACGAATATTGGGATTCCATTTTGAACCGGATGGCCTGACTACCAAAAACTGGCGGTTAGCTAGGGAAAAGCTGACCGACAGGATTCGGGAACTCAGTGCGTTGTCTTGTCCACTTACAGCTAGAGCCACGATAATTCGATCGCCGTTGTTTAGTTTTCTCACGTCTGTAGGTTCAGTAATGCCGGTTAAGCCCCACACTAGGGTTCTCCTGGAAAATAAACTTTTCGTTTTTTTTTGGAGTCGTGCATCTGCGTGGTGGCCGCGCCCAGTGCTCAAGCTGCGCAGAGATGAAGGAGGACTCGGTATTCGTGACCTCTGCGTGGTGACTATGGCGCTACACGTCAGATGGACACGGGTAGCTCTCGATTCAGATATGCTCCTAACTCGAAGCTCTGCATTGTACTTCCTGAGCACGCGGCTGAGCCTGTTCTCGCCTGAGGCATTTTCTAATTCGGTGCCTCGGGCGGGAACGCCTTCTGCCTTCTATGCAGGGGCCGCTTCTACTCTGGCCCGTCTCCAAGAGGTCGACCCGGAGATAGACTTAGCTTCAATCGAACTCTGCGAGCTAGTCGATAGACACACTCCAGAGTTACCTGAACGCTTTAGAGAGCATGACCTGTCCCAACACAGTCATAACTGGCGGTTCATTACGGCCAGTTTCCTGGACGCCAAGCGCGCTACATTCATGTACCGCCTGGCCAGAGGTACCGCCTGGCCAGAGGTCACCGGTAACCACCGCCGGGAACGCACTCCCTCACCAGAGAAGGATTGGCCACCCTGGTGCAGTATCTGGCCACTACCTCCCACATGCATACGTCAAATAACTCATGGCCCTCAGTCCCCAGCAGCTGCGAAGCAACTGACCACGGTGGCGGTCAGATCTGCAAGCAGCAGAGGGTGCTAAGAATCTCTGGATCCGGACAGGCCGCCATTGGAACCTGAACTTGGCAACGTTTAACGCTAGAACCTTATCTAGTGAGGGAAGTCTAGCTGTACTATTCGAGGAGCTAGAGGGTGTTAAATGAGATATAATAGGGCTCAGTGAGGTTAGGAGGACAGATGAGGCCTATACTGTGCTACAGAATGGGCACGTCCTTTGCTATCGGGGCTTGGCAGACAGAAGAGAACTGGGAGTGGGGTTCCTAATTCACAGAAACATAGCTGGCAACATAGAGGAATACTGTAGCATTAATGAAAGGGTGGTAGGTATTGTAATTAAACTGAATAAAAGATACAAGATGAAGGTAGTACAGGCTTACGCGCCTACATCCAGCCATGATGACGCTTCAGTTGAAAGCTTCTATGAAGACGTGGAATCAGCAATGAGTAAGGTAAAAACATAGTATACTATAGTGATGGGCGACTTTAATGCAAAGGTAGGGAAGAAGCAGGCTGGAGACCAGGCAGTAGGAGATTATGGCATCGGCACTAGAAACGCCAGAGGAGAGCTACTAGTAGAATTCGCAGAACGCAATAATTTGCGGATTTTGAACACCTTCTACCGAAAACGAGAAAACCGCAAGCGGACATGGAGGAGCCCTAATGGCGAAAATAAGAACGAAATAGACTTTATAATGACTGCACACCCAGGAATCGTGCAGGATGTGGAAGTGTTTGGCAAGGTACGATGCAGTGACCATAGAATGGTACGGTCTCGAATTCGCCTAGACTTGAAGAAGGAATGACAGAAACTGATACGCAAGAAGACAATCAATGAGCTAGCACTGAGAGGGAAAGTACAGGAATTCAGAATGTCACTGCAGAACAGGTACTCGGCTCTTAGTGAGGAAACCAACCTTAGCGTAGATACAATGAATGATAATCTGACGAGTATCATTACGGAGTGTGCAGTGGAAGTTGGAGGCAGGGTAGTTAGACAGGGCACTGGCAAGCTTTCCCAGGAAACGAAGAACCTAATTAAGAAGCGTCAAATCATGAAAGTGTCAAGTACAACAGACGAAATAGAACTGGCAGAGCTTTCGAAGTTGATTAATAGACCTAAAGTATGCGATGTAAGAAGGTATAACATGGAAAGAATTGAACACGCTCTGAAAAACGGAGGAAGCGTCA